TTGTTGATGATGATGATGCTGACAACGATGACGGTGGCGACGACGAGACCGCTGAAGATGAAGTAGAAGTTGGCGATGTATCTGGTGATGGATTAGAGGAAGAACGAATAGCGGTATTCAGTCGGGGTAGTTGTTGCAGCATCTATTATATCATTAACGTAAATTTTAAAAAGTCAGTAAATAAATCCTATTAAGTGGGGAATGTCATTTGACACATACAGTGTTTCTACTCTCATTTCTACCGTGGTTGCTGTTCATTTTTACGGACCAAAAAGAATGAATAACAGTGAATAATGAACAAGCAAGTTTTGGTTGTAAGCAGCACGTTTGAGGCCTTCATTTATATCTATCGCCGACTAATTGACTCCTGCATATCAATACCATTTTTACCAGCGCAGTTTTATCAAATATCGTTCATTTATCAGGAGCGCTTACCGACTAATGTTCCTAATAAAGCGTATGAATGAGCAATCTATCATGCACGCTGACACGTGGGCATAGGAACAATGCCCGTCATTGTGGCAAAATCGATTATTGTTGAAAAATTATATATATATCTGCTTTGTTGTATTGTACGAAAAAAGAAGCTCCGGACAATGGTGTCGCACTGCATAGTAATAGGGCTGAACGCCCAGAATATTAAACAAACGCATAATGAATGCTGTTCGTGGATGTGCTGTAATCATAGTATCATGTCAAGTAGATGAGCAGGGTTGCAATTTGGTCTCATAGTTTTTAATGCGCAGAGTCATAGAGCGAAAAGCAATAAGAAATGAGCTCATTGTTCGTGTAACCAATATTAATAGTGGAACCATTCATTTCATTTGCCCGACAAATATTCCCCAACACTATTTCGAGATTATCCCTTTTTTGGTAGTAATTTCGGACAATTGAACCGGACATAAATAGTTACACATATATGCCATTGTATATATAACTAATTAATGTTGCTCAACCTTAAACAAAAAACCGGAGTAAAGCACCGACACTTTTGCAATTTGCGCTATAAAATCGGAAAATATTGAAAGCAAGACCTTGATCACATGGATGCACGGTGCTCACCCCTGTGTATCCCATTGTCGTCATATCACACGGTGCACGACATCAACAACTCACCTTTTCGTTTGTCTTTTACGACCAATAATTTGTGAAGTAATTATTTCACAAATTTTAACTAGTCATTACTTGTTACCTTGTCAGCAAATACATCTCCTGAAATATACAATTGCTTGTTTTAAAATAGTCTTGTGGGTATTAAAATGTAACTTTTACGTAAATAATGTAGACAATAATATTCATATTTTTACTGAGTTGTCGTTGTATTGCCATTGTAACTGAATTCGTTTTACGATTAGCAGTTACACTACAATTGAAAACAAGCAGAAGTTTAGAATCGATTAAGAATTAAGTATTTGACTTCAGAGAGGTTTAAAATTAAGACGTACAATAAAAACATATGACTGTTGCAGTTAGTAAAGACATCTGTATATAGTACGTTTAAACTTATTCCGTAAGTGGTAAAGTTATATAAAGAATGTCAAGTAAAAACAATAACACGGAAACTTCCATAAAACATAAAAAACTTTTTTGTTATAAAAAAACAAACACGTCGGAACAATAATTTCGTGTGTTGCAAGTGAAGATATTAAATACTATATACGGTGTTCTATAAGTCTAATTAGCTCTTTAGACTCGCAATATTTGAGATTACACGCCTTATTAAAAATGTCGTTTGTTATGGCGTAAAAGGAGTTAGTTTACAGCATGTAAAAAAGGGGTAAAATCGGTGGCTAATTTTTACGTCTCGGACATTGTATTTAGTTTTTACTTTAATAATTTGTTTTTTGCGTTTTTTATTTAGCAAATTTAGTATGCTTATAATGGGTTCAAAAATAAAAAAATTGGTTTAGAACTGTTACGTTGAAGTTGCATTTGAGAAAGCTGTCACTCAGTGCGTGAGTAGAAATATTATTTTACGTCAAATTTCTCACACTTAACGGCAGCGTATCATTTACTATGGTCGAGAGCTTGTTCAAACCAATTGACGTTTGTCCCCCTAAACAAACACAATAGACAATAGTATTTTTCATATTAAACTGTCACATAACGTGCATACATTTACCCCCATTCGTGCAAATTATTCCGATTGTCACAGGTTCGACTCGGCGACAACCAAGAGCAAATATTTCTGGACAAGAAACCTGATGTATTGTCTTACAACAGGATCTTCCAAGAGATTTCAAACTTTATGGCAAAAAAGTAGCGGATCAATACTCGATTCCTGCTCATTACATGTGATAATAAAGTCTCAAATGTCTAATAATTCTGTGCAAAAAATTGCTAGCGCATATATTCAATTTATGATATCCAAAAATTTGCAACATTTTCTCTGACATGATCGTCGCGATGAAGACTTTGTTTCCTAGTACGGTGAACTCTCCCTGATTGCAGGTTGTGGACCGAGACATTTGAAAGAAGCTTGCATTTGGGAGACCAGTAATATTGGATTCACGTGGATATTGTTACGTTTATAATATATGATGTTTATAATAATCATTCCATCCAAATAAGAAATTGAATTAATCTATTGTACTTATAGTTAGACCCTAAGCTCGCAAATAAATATTATACCATGTATAATTGGCTCTAAATAATTATAACTTCTAGTGATGAAGTCCAAGTTGAACTAAACAATTTCAATATCAGTGATGACAATGTAGAACTCTCTTAATGAATTATGGTTTATGTAATGGAAAGGAAAAGTAAATGCAATTAATGTGAAACTGCTAACATGTGGGAGGAACAGGTCAAAAGTTGACCTACAATACTTGATTATACATTTGAATCGAATGATCGAAATATCATCGACGAATACAAGAAAGGAACTGATATGAGAAAAGACTCCGGTATCAAAACAGTCCGAATTAGCAAAAATCTTAATTCGAATTAAGGTACTTGACTGTATATTCTGTCAAATCTTGAAGCTTACATCAAAGTGTCTGTAACATCACTGAGTTTGGCAGTTAAATAATTGACTTTAATTGTATTAACTTTTATGCAAATCAAATATCTTTTTAATGGCCGTAGGTAACCTGTTGCAATAATAATAAAATCAGCATACTTGCTGTGGTTGTTTGTTGAGTCCAGTACTTAATGTAAGAAAACCTGCACTTGTTCCCCGAGTCCAGCGTGAGATTACTTTTGCATTTTAGAGAGATAATTCACTTAAATAGTCAATACATAGATGTTACGAGGAATATTACATCGGCATTACAGCATTAGCAAAGAGGTTGCTTCGTCTTAGCAATTGACTGAGATATTTACATGAGCTTGATGCTATTTAAAGAATCAGTAGTGAATAATAGAACAAGGTCCAACCCAAAGATTGAGGAGGTACGACATATTATCGCTTAGAAGCGCGCGCTATATAGACACGGAAACCCTCTACATTTTAATCTTAGAGTAATATTGAGACGTTTCTGCTGGAAAATCTTCAGGCGTCAGGATATTATATAGAAAAAAGACTCCTGCTGCGAAAAGGTATTATAAAGTGTGGCTTTTTATGAGAAGCTGAAGTTATTGTTACAATAATAGTTAGAACAACTTTGAACAAATATTGCATGAGGCATTGATGGGGAATCGTCTACCACTATTTGAACAATATTAAGAAACCATAGCAAATCACACGCATTAATTAACAGGAAGCCCTTCGTCTAATCTGAACAACATAATAATATAAAATAATATAAAAGAATTCTTTTATTGATTAATTAAACAGAGTCGATTGAAAAGCAAAAATTGGTATCAAATAACTTTTGCAGAGTCTAATTTGAATATTAATGTTGAGACTCATTCTGAGAGTGGATCAAACCGTTTCAAGATTGTCACTATCACACAGATTACATAGTTTATTGGGTCAAGATATTATTCTAACGTGACATACCGAAACGGGTCAAATCTCAGAATGGGGAGGGGGCACAACATTAAAGTAAGATGGAACTCAATCTAGAATTAAGTCACCCAGTCCAGACAGAACTCGGTTGTCTCAGTCCAGATCAATCCAGAACTGAGACAAGTCCCCAAACTGAGGCACAGCAGCTAACAAATCATGATCCCACAAAACTAAAATAATTTAATTTAACTTTGCTGATAATTTCAAGTTATTAACCTGATGAATTTCAGCGAAGAGATTATTACGTCTTTAAAGTTTTTATCTGTTTGGTCCATGTAATTGATAATCGGTCATTATGGAAACTTTATTTCAAATTTATTAAACATTGAGATCATTGGCGAGCAGTTCGTTTTTTCCATACGCCATAACCAATATGCAGATTTCCTTGGTAGCGGGAGATGAATACTTGTGTTCAACCATTCTTCTTTTTGTACGACTCGTTACGATTATTAATAATTGTAGCACGATAACCAATAGGACATAAAATATCGTATGATTCCACCCCATAACGCGTGCGTACAATATGTCACTACAAAATTTTGCCCAGATGCATAATTCTTTACTAGTCATGATGTAATGTTTACAATAACTGTGCGCATACACTCGTATAATATAACTCATTGGCACTGTAACAATATCGAATAATAATGAAGCTAAGTATTAGTATTACACGATCAATGTTTATACCATGAAACAGTTAATATAACTGGGAAAAATCATTGGTTGATATCTCTAAAGACACTCACAGCAGACTACAAGTATTACGTACCAAAAGTTGTATGTAAATTTAACAAGACAGCCCTAATCATATGTTATTCGATAAATAAATCTACAGACAAGTTTGGCAATGCTTATTAGCGCATATTAGATAATTTACCTAAAATTCTGATAGGTTCCGGTGCGAAACAATCTCTTCTCGAATGTTGAAGTCCATTTGAATCTTCCATCAGCGCTCTTAGTGCCTTTGCTAGAGTTTCTTTCCTTGTTCAGTAATGCGGCTGTAGCATAAACTTCGGTAGATCAAGTTTAACCGCTTATTATTATAGCATTATCTTGTTACGCCTTCCTGTAAGAAAGCATCGTCATCAGGGAGAATTAGATCAACCTGCTTCGAGTCTGAAAAATGTATTAAGTTAAATAACTGCATTTACAAAAACCTTATAATAATAAGTAATAAAGTATATACCACGCGGTGTTGCAAGTTCATCGGTGACTAAAAAATCATCTCGCTTGGAGCCTGTCAAGTGGAAACAAAATACGAGCTGATATAATAATATGTGATATTATTCTTTAATCTACTAATCACCATTGCACATACCTGTCACTGAATCAATCAGCAAGCTTCTTGTAGGCAACAGCTTACTAGAATATTTACTCTCTTTCTCAACACGTGATAAGGGCTTTAAATGCTCATTTTTATAGATTGCATTCCACACATTGTTACCAGAATTATCTTGACTTTCCTCGTGAATAAGTTTCCCAATATATTGCCTAACTTGATTTGCGTCTGGGCGCTTGTCAGGATGGGTATCACAACACTTTTCGGCAAGCTGTCGATAAGGCTCTGGCGTTGAATCAGGCATTGCTGGTCGCAACCCGTTACTGATATCTCTTACCAAGTGCTGATCGAACGTTCTGTCTCTAAACGGTAGCTCGCCACTGGCAATAAGATACATTAGAATTCCGAAAGCGTAGATATCCGACTTTTGTGTAAACTCGTTTGTATAAAAGACTTCCGGTGCAATGTATGGTAGAACGCCTCGAACAGTTGATGGGTTGTGTGCATTCGCCGACCTAGAGAGTCCAAGATCGCATATAAACGCTATGTTGTAATAAGTACCATCACGACTACGCTTAGGAGTGAGAACTATGTTTCCGCCATGAAGATCGCAATGTATCAAGTCGTTTTCATGAAGGGTACTTAAATGTTGCGCAATATCTCTCAAATAGTTTAGTTTCGTCTTCCATGTCAACTTGTTGATGTTCTGATCCAAATACGACGAAAGACTACCGCCCCTGGCATATTGCATTATGATCACGTGATCTCCTGTCTCCGGTCGCTGGGTCACTCCGTAAATATCGAGAAATGCCGAGTTATTACATCGAGCATGATTCTTGAGCTGCGTAAACAGAAATACACTATTCATTAGATAAACATGGTCAATGTCCCGAATCATAGCATATGTGTTACCTCGTAAATAAATAATTCTGGCTCCTGGTCAAGATTCTTGAAGTCTTTCAGAACGACACGTCCTTTTGATACATGTCTGGCGGTGTAGACCGTTCCGTAACCACCAGCTCCAATCTTTTCAATTTCACTAAATTCGTCAAACTGCATAAATTTGAGTTTACTGGTTTGGATGAATTTGTCTAGAAATGTCTGTATGTCATAGTAGAACAACAAATAATAGTCCTGCGTATACGGTTCTTGAGTTATACCAATTATCCAAATATTAGATCCACTTAATATATTTGGATAGTCTTTTGTTAACTAGATTATGGAAAATAGCGCGAGCACTGTTAGTACGGCGATTATAGCATATTAATGCTTAGAATGACCTCTGCTACCTTGTAAAAATCAAATGATTGAGCATCCTGTCCACTAACGATTTTCTTTAGTAACACCTTTGTCGACTTGCTTTCGTCTGTACTTGATGTCTGTTCTAACCAATCTGCAGTATGCGTGCATTTGTGTCTTAACGGAGATGATTCTTCTATGTTTGCTAATCGAGAATATTCTATCCATTGTATATAGCTGTCAGTTCGATGCACAGCATTATTCCATGATTTCATTATAAAAGAGTCCAAGCACTTGTTGCCTGTAGTCCAATCCGGCGGTGTTGGCGCTTTACACTTGATACAAAATACATTTGTATCGGAAGATAATTCCTCTGCACACGACAAGCATAAGCCATGTTTGTGTTTCGTTTTAATTAGGAGGTATGTCTGTCGGCGCGGACGATATGTGAACCCAATAGTAATCCAACTGTTTGGATCCAGCAGATCCGGGTTGCGAGCGCTTATCTAATGGGAGGCGTTATTTCATATCAAGCTAATTCTCAAGTCAATCAAACAAGTGCGATAAAAGTTAAAATAGTTCACCTTATGGTAATGCTGATCATCCGTCTTGTTTAATAGTTCAAGGGGGATCAGCTTTTCTACGCATTCATAAGTATGTATACCATGTAGTTTTCCGGAATATTTCTTACTACATGTAAATTGATCAGTCGGGATCCATTCCAAGTAGGCTTCGTTGGCTGATTTTGTTTGACTTTGCGATTTTTTGATCAACTCGTCGAGTTTTTCGTTATTGCTAGTCCATCCGTTTGCTAATTCCTTATGACCACAGATACACCACACAGGACTGCATCTAAGTATTCCACATGCAGAACAGAATCCATATAGAGAATAACAATCGTAAAACGTCTTCTGGGCTACTAGATAATAATTATCTTCCACTTTAGTAAATCCTTCTATCCATTTATTGCGACGCTTGAGCCATTTGAAATATCTCCTAAAGTTAGATGAAGAACTTCTGTAAACGTGTGCAGGGAGTGAGTAAGTTCTAGCAAACTTGCGCACAAATTCCGGCGTACATTTATCAATGTTTCCAAGTAGTAAAAGCATTATGGTCATTCCATCCAATTTAGCATAATAGACGGTTCGGTCAATAGACGTTTCAATCAAATCCATATCTGTAAATTCGCAAGAAGAGATCCATCGGAAGTCAGAATAAGCCTCTGCTGGTTTTCCATTATCAAGAATTTTGGAGGATTCAATCAGCTGATCGATCGCAGGACAGCTGAAGACGTTCTTGCTAGCTTGAAGATCGCCATTCTTTGACGGCAGAAGTACAGTAATAGACGTACTAGGAAAGGTCATGACCAAAACAACGATATCGACTTTCAAAATTTTCGTTGGTCAAAATATAGTTGTGTCACAACAACGAAGTCACACTAACTTTAAACATGAAATGCAACAATTACAATTAGTCGCTCAAGAACCATTATGTGGACTATTCTGTACGATATACTGACTTTCTATGCAATCGGCGAATTTAATGAAAAATCATTACGTCGAGTTCGACAATGGCAAAAGAACACGTGATTATAATGCAATAAATTAGGCTATTTGAACAACATAGTAATAGTAATAGTGAAAATGGTACTATAATATAACGTCTATGGATCAATACAAAAAATTATTGAAACTACCGCGTAAATGAATACATTCGAGTTCAACATTCGAGACGTTTACAAGAATATTCTATGAGGGTTATCTGCAACGTGCTGTGACCAGCAGCTCATTGTGATGCTTATTCTGACAAGCGTCCAAGACGCAAATTAATTAGCGATACGTGAAAAGCTCATTTATGAGAAAATCAAAATACATCGTGCGGAACAATCACGTATTGAGAATATTCCTGGCATGTGACGATAGCTTAAAGAATATTATCTTAATTGTATCTTTCCCCAGGCTCCAGGTTTGATTATCCAACGTGTGCTTTGTTACATACAGCTCGCCACGATAGCCATAATTCTAGACGAATATTCCCGACTCAATGTTCCAAAAATTTCAATAAAAATTTTTCAAGAGTTGGACAAATGTTTTTACTATGATAAATTTTCAGTAAATGCAAATGGCTAACTTCATATGTTCAGACTCGAAACAAAGTTGTTTGCTTACATACGCAATCATATAAGGTAAGCATTCTTGGTAATAATAAGATGTTATAAGCGACAAAATTACTTAGTTGAAAACTATAGAAAACCATGTTTACATATATTTTTTTATTAAACATATCGAGCAATGTAATATGAAGATAATGAAGCAAACGATACGATAAACTGCAAAGTTTGTTGTATAAAGCCTTATCCTTTTTTAATATATTTCAAAATTGACCTAACATTGCAAATTTAAGCACTTTTTATTTCCTCTGAATTTCTTTAATTTATTTATTCGGTATTCTCTATGCATTTATTAGGGCCTTCACTATTCTCATAACCGCCTTCTAAAGTGTTTACTATCAAATGGGACTGGTTTTTTGATTAAGTTATTCGCACCGGTTGAGAAATATTTTCGCATTCCACAATAAGTAAATTGATATATTTGATCGCAAATATTGTTGTCTTCGAAGCGCCATTTTGTCTAAGTTGTAGACTCATGCTTAATATTTGTTAAATTAATTGTTTGCGACACAAACATAAAACCAATATTTGCCAAATCAGAATCGTATTAATTCAGTGGTTATTAGACTTTCGGAAATTTCTTCAAAGTATAAAGTATCGACAATTATACTTGGCCTCTATGCAATCCAATCAACGTCATGTTTGCATCAGACAATAATTCTGGTCTTACCACTAGCGTTAGCGTTTGAGTCTTAAATCCAATTGTTTACTAAACTCAAAATAAAAAATATTAATGTTGTACCTCAGTTGGGGACCTGTCTCAGTTCTGACCGAGATAACCGAGTTCTAGACTGAGTCCTGAACTGAAACACAACATTTTTCGTACGATGTAAATACAGATAGAATTCCTCAAGCCCGTTCGTAAACATTTATTATCAGAAAAACAACGTAGTAGTAGTCACCTGTAATTGCACTGTAATCGGAAACCCTCCACCTAACAAAAGTTCTTGTTTTGTATAACCAGTTTATATTTATAAAGCCTACATACAGAACAACCAGACTTTCTGAGACTAGCGTGAACAAGGAACAAGTAAACTTTTCATATACACCAATAGGTGATGCTCCTCTTCTCTGAGACAGCGATTTTACAGTTTCACACAATGTTCGCGTAATCGAGAGTTATTTTTCTCAGGTGACTCTACGACTTTTAAAATCGCTTTTCGCGACGCGAGTTTAATATATTGTCATCAATTGTGATTAGGTTTATTTAAATTTCCAAGTTAGTCAATGCCTTATATATGCCCCAACCTATTTATTGCATTAGTTCCAAATTTGGTCGAGCATCGAGCTGTTGAGAAGTCCCCCTCTTACTGTATGTGTATATAGTGGCAGTAGTAATAAAGAATAAAATTGCGGATATAATCTTATCTATGAACATTAAAGTTAAACAACACGTACTCAGAAAAAAATAAAGAAACCTGTTAATTTCAACATGTTATTATCATTAATGTTTGTTGTAAGTTTATTTTTTCTTTCGTTAGGTACAATCAACTAGTTTCAAAATAACAGTTTTTTTCTACACAATATAAATAAATTTTGAAATAAGAAACACGATATTTTAACAGAATAAGTATTACAATTCAGCTGTCTGAAAGAGCTTTCAAATTTCGTTTGCTTTTAATTATGAC